CTTCTACGTTTACTATTTAACTAAACTTGTATATCTTTAGGTTTAATCCTTCGGACAATTCATACGACGATGACATGGATGGAAATGGCATACTATGCATGGCTGTCGACATTTTACCCACAGAATTTGCAAAGGAGGTATGAAGATTACAGAGTTAGTACTTGGACTGATTCTACAGTTAAAAACCTTGTATTAATTGGGAGTTTTGTGTCATGAAAAAGGCATCCCAGCATTTTGGAGATATTCTTTCAGAATTTGTCGGTAGTTTGGCTTCGATGACTGAAATTGCAGATCTACCAGCGCATCTGAAGAGGGCATGCATAAGCTATAAAGGAGAGTTGACATCTTTGTATGAGTATATTCCACGTATGAGGAAGTCAAATCCAGAGTATGTTCTCAGCTGCTTAATCCATTATTTCATGTACATAGTCTGAAATGATTATGCCTCTCCTCTAAACCATGTTTCTATCTTTACTCACTTTTAACTGCAGAGAGGCACATGAGAATATCGCCAATGGGGTTTCCAGCCAGAGAACATACAACATATTGGTGAGTGAGTTTTGATGAAGAAAGTAAATATAACCACTCTGAATAATATGGATTCCAAGACCTATGCTTCACAATATATTCATATCTCTATCGACTTTCTTTACCAAAGATTGCTACGTTTTCGAGTTCTGTCTCAGCGCTTCTTGCAATGATTTTTGACTGAGACAATAATTTGTAGGTATCTCTAAGCGGACACCTATTTGATAAGTTTTTGATAAACGAAGCTCTCGATATGATTGAAGCAGCCGGTGGCACATTTCACTTGGCTAAATGTGAACTGGGGCAGAGTGCGGATGCTGAGTCATACTCAGAACTTGAAGTAAGTTTGTTTCTTGATAAAGAAAAAAAAACGAATTATACAGCTGTCAAGAGATTTACTTGTCAGCTTTAGGTTTTATGTCTTTTTCACTAAGTCTCGTAAGTGGTTAGAACAAGTAAACAAACTACAAGCCAAAAGAGTATGGTCCCATTCTAACCTATTCCCACTTGTTAAAGATTCTTTCATTGTCTTGGGTAGGTTGGTGCAGATGATAAGAAAGTTTTGGATCAAATCATTGATTCATTAACTCGATTAGCTAATCCAGATGAAGATTATATATCTCCACGTAGAGAATCAAATAAGATCTCACTGAAAATTGAAAAAGTCCAGCAAGAAAATGAGGTAAAAGAGAAGCCTGAAATGACGAAGAAATCAGGTGTTTTGATTATTGGTGCTGGACGTGTGTGTCGCCCGGCTGCTGAGCTCCTAGCCTCAGTCAAAACCATTTCGTCACAGCAATGGTACAAAACTTATTTCGGAGCAGAGTCTGAAGAGCAAACAGATGTTCGTGTGATTGTCGCATCTCTGTATCTGAAGGATGCTAAAAAGGTATTAGAAGCGTTTGAGCCTCATCTGTTGAAATTCAAAATTTTAATATGAATAGAACGATCAATCTTTTCTAAATCTAATTCTGTTTTACTGATGTGGCAGACGATTGAAGGCATTCCAGACGTAGAAGCAGTTCAGCTAGATGTGTCAGATAGTGAAAGCCTCCTTAAATATGTTTCTGAGGTATTTATTCTCCTAACTCCTCTGTTCTTAGATCACCTTTACTCCAAAATCCACTGCTCAAATCCATTTATCTTATATTGTTTTTCATTGCGCTCAGGTTGATGTTGTCCTAAGTTTATTACCTGCAAGTTGTCATACTGTCGTAGCAAAGACATGCATTGAGGTAAAATCCTACCCTCAAAGCATTAGACTAGCATTGAAAAGGCAGGAAAATGATGTGTTTCAGAAGGGAAATTATGAAATTAGTGAATGTTAACTCAATACATAGGCTAAACTCCCTCTGAAATAATACATTCTTTAAGTATTTTCCGGATACTAAATGCCTCTGTTTCTTCTTTGTGATTCACTCAGCTGAAGAAGCATCTAGTCACTGCTAGCTATGTTGATGATGAAACGTCCATGTTACATGAGAAGGCTAAGAGTTCTGGGATAACCATTCTTGGCGAAATGGGACTGGACCCTGGAATTGGTGTGACATTTCACAAAATAGCTTTTTCCTATAATTTTCGTTTTCAGTCATTTACGTTTAGTGCATTTAGCTACAGAGCATTTCCTGGATAATTGAGAAGGTGATCCTATAATGCGTCTTTCAGATCATATGATGGCGATGAAAATGATCAATGAGGCTCATATCAAAAAGGGGAAAGTGAAGTCTTTCACCTCTTACTGTGGAGGGCTTCCCTCTCCTGCTGCAGCAAATAATCCATTAGCATATAAGTTTAGGTACTTTAGTCATCTACGCCATTTAGCATACTTTCTTGTGTATCCTCATTAATACATCATTTCAGAATTGCTTTTACTCAATTACAATTCTCTATCTCAGTTGGAGCCCTGCTGGAGCAATTCGAGCTGGCAGTAACCCTGCCAAATACAAAACCAACGGCGACATAGTACACGTTGATGGTATGACAGGAAAAACATAGTCCATATGCAGGGGAGGTTTTAGTTGTCTAAATTCACTACATGTATCATTTCTGTCTAATCGAGCAATGTAATGGCAGGGGAGAATTTGTATGATTCAGCCACAAGATTCCGAGTACCTAATCTTCCAGCTTTTGCATTGGAATGTCTTCCAAATCGGAACTCCTTGGTTTATGGGGAACTTTATGGCATAGAGAGCGAAGCAACAACAATATTTCGTGGAACCCTCAGATATGAAGGTATGAATTCTATATTCACAAGTCACATCTCGACATCTGAAGACTGAACAATTTTTTCCTTTTGGCTTGTACAGGATTTAGTATGATAATGGCAACACTTTCAAAACTAGGATTCTTTGACTATGAAGCAAATCAAGTACTCACCACTGGAAAGAAGATTATGTTTGGTACTCTTTTAAGTAACATTCTAAAAAAGGATGCAGACAATGAATCAGAGCCTCTAGCTGGAGAAGAAGAGATCTGCAAGAGAATTATCAAGCTTGGACATTCCAAGGAGACTGCAGCCAAAGCTGCCAAAACAATTGTGTAAGCTTCTCCATGAAGATAAATCTTAATGTAGTTTTGTGATACCAAATCTTCTGCAAATCACTTAAAGGCCGATTATTTTGAGGTGTCTTAGATTCTTGGGGTTCAACGAAGAGAGGGAGATTCCATCATTGTGTAAAAGCGCATTCGACGCAACTTGCTACCTAATGGAAGAAAAACTAGCCTATTCCGGAGATGAGCAGGTCTCTGATTGATTATGTGAAATCACTAGTTTTCTCTTTTAATTTGCACTTGATTTTACTTGCTGAGATAAAAATTTGGACAATCTTTTGCATTATGTTTTCAGGACATGGTGCTTCTACATCACGAAGTAGAAGTGGAATTCCCTGAAAGCAAACGTATTGAGAAGCACAGTGCAACTCTTTTGGAATTCGGGGAGATCAAGAACGGACAAACAACGACTGCTATGGCCAAGACTGTTGGGATCCCTGCAGCCATTGGAGCTCTGGTCCTTACTCTGACACTGATCACAACTTTTTTCCTGTCTATAATTTCGCGAAAGTTCAAAAAACTTAAGCGTATGTTCCTGATGTTGTGTGTTGCAGCTGCTAATTGAAGACAAGATCAAGACAAGAGGAGTCTTAAGGCCTCTCGAACCAGAGGTGTATTTGCCAGGTAACTTCTGTCCAAAAGTAATGATGTGTGTGCAGATGAACAGGATGATATTGATTTGTCGTGTTTGGGGGTTTGTGGTGGTATGCACAGCTTTGGATATATTGCAAGCCTATGGTATAAAGCTGATTGAGAAGACGGAATGATCTTCTGTCGAAGAACTCTGTGTATGGTTTCGCTATAACTTGAAGACGAAAAGGTCAAGAAGACAGAGAGGTCATACTCCAAAAAAAAAAGAAAAAAAAAGAGAGAGAGAGAGAGAGAGAGAGAAGAAGATGAAAAGATAAGCCTCAAATCCATGGATTGCAAGAGGAACCCATGTAGATATATGTATTGTGTAAAGAATAACTCGTGTCCACAAATCTCTCAATGGACGTATTGTATAGTAACTAGTAAATGATCATATGTATGTATGTGCATACAAACTGTTAAGGCGTGTAATTTGAAAAGTGAATAAATAAATAAAGGAAATTGAAGAAAAATGACTAGTACTTTCTTTTTTGTAGCTATGGAAGAAGTTGTTGTCTTTTTCTTATAACCATTATTTTTCTTGTTTCTTTTAATTTTTCATTTATTAATATTGACCCATTGCATTATATACAATATATATAATCCTGAACGATGATTTTAGTTGTGAATTAATATTATCATATACTCATGCAATCCTCGTGTGACGTTGTTTAGTGTCTGTCTATTGACTAATTGCATTGCATGCATTGTATATTGTATTATTTTTTTCTTTTTGAAATTTTTGTCGTTCTTAGTATGGAAGTTAAACTAATAAACGTGTATCATTTTCTGATTGTCAATTGCACTATGTATACCACTAGATATTTAACGATGACTTTACAAGTCTTCAACAAATATTTGAATATGATGACTTTATATCATATTGGTCTGAATAATTCAACCTTGAGGCCCTCTCAATACATCACTTGCTATTCTGACAATCAACTACTTGAAGATTAGAGAAAGGTATTACAAATTTTGGGACATGTCACATCGACCAGAACTAATTAATACGTTATTTGCATATTAGTGAAACATGTTAGATATGTCATATATGTAATAAAATATGCCATACCAGACTTACCAGTGTATAAATATTCTAATTGTTAGAATTTTGATTTTTAAGTTTATTACTGTGTATTTATATCAATTTCGTGTCATAATCTAGAGCACAATAAAAGTTTTAATCTCACACTTAACATAATCTTTCATTTCTCTATCGGTATATGCTCTGTTCTTTGCTCTGAACAATCTTGTTGCGGAAGTAACCACTCTTGCTCTTATCATAAAAGATGAATTCAAGTGGCGATGAGAAGAGTAGGTTGGGGAATGGAGTTGTTGGAATTCTAGCTGAAACAGTGAACAAATGGGAGAGACGAACGCCCTTGACGCCGTTGCACTGTGCTCGTCTTTTACACGGTGGCAAAGACAGAACCGGAGTTTCCCGCGTTGTCGTTCAGCCATCTGCTAAGCGTATCCATCACGATGCCTTGTATGAAGATGTCGGATGTGAAGTTTCTGATGACTTGTCTGATTGTGGGCTTATTCTCGGAATCAAACAGCCTGAGGTGTGACACTCTACTATTGCACTAAAAAAGAATCTGGTATCTCTAAATCCTTTTTTTTTATCTCAATTTATAAGATTTGGCTGTGTGGGATTGATTCTGTTTTCAGCTAGAAACGATTCTACCTGAGAGAGCATATGCTTTCTTTTCACACACTCACAAGGCTCAGAAAGAAAACATGCCTTTCTTGGATGAAGTAAGGAGAAAACACTTTTGCTATTCATCCTTTTCTAATTAGAACATTTTAGAAGATATGTAAGAAAAATGGGTTTTGGATGCAGATCCTTTCTAAGGGAGTGACGTTGTGTGATTATGAGCTCATCGTTGGGGATCATGGGAAAAGATTATTGGCATTTGGTAAATATGCAGGCAGAGCTGGTCTTGTTGACTTTTTACACGGACTGGGACAGAGTAAGCTCTCGTTTCCGTGTAGATCAAGATGAACTCGATTAGAAGGGGAAGACAAGCTTTTTCTTGTTGTGAATGTAATTTTCCATGTTTGATGCAGGATATCTAAGTCTAGGATACTCAACGCCTTTCCTCTCCCTTGGGTCATCCTATATGTATTCCTCACTGGCTGCAGCAAAAGCCGCTGTGGTCTCTGTAGGTGAAGAAATTGCAAGCCAGGGACTACCACTAGGAATCTGCCCTCTTGTATTTGTCTTCACTGGAACAGGAAATGGTAACTTGTTAATGTTACTGAACTTGTCAGCTTGTGGATGTCTCATTTCATTAAATTTGTTAGTTATTCCGCATGCAGTTTCTCTGGGGGCGCAAGAAATATTCACACTTCTCCCTCACACTTTTGTTGAACCAAGCAAGCTTCCTGAACTATTTGTAAAAGTAAGTGTAAGTTTACTTTCAAGGTATTGAAGATTACAAATTCCTGTGAATTTGGTTCTATGTTTTGTGAGAATTTTTTTATTATTGTATACTTCTGCACAGGATAAAGAAGTGACCCAAAATGGAAAATCAACAAAGCGAGTCTATCAAGTATATGGTTGTATCATTACCAGCCAAGATATGGTTGAACACAAGGATCCATCAAAGTCGTTCCACAAAGTAACACTTAACGATTTAGCTCCATGGCTGTGACTTTTGCATTACATTAAAGTAGATATTAACTTTTCAAACTTTTGATGTTCAGGCAGACTACTATGCACACCCAGAACACTACAATCCAGTTTTCCACGAAAAGATATCCCCGTATATGTCTGTTCTTGGTACATCCTATAATCTCTGTTTTATCTCTAAAGTTCATGAGCTTACGTATAGGCTACTCAACTGTCCAGTGTGCACTAACCAGTGAGTGACCATCTCATTTTTGGTTAACTATGACTTTCCGTGCAGTAAACTGCATATACTGGGAGAAGAGATTTCCACGTCTTCTGAGCACCAAGCAGATTATAGATTTAACAACAAAAGGATGTCCACTAGTGGGAATATGCGATATAACTTGTGATATCGGTGGCTCCATTGAATTTCTTAACCGAGCTACTCTAATCGATTCACCTTTCTTTAGGTACTATTTACTATAACAGAGCATTATAGGTTTACTATTTTGATGAAAGCTCATAGAGCTAATCACTCGATCTAATTTAGGTTTAATCCCTCCAACAATTCTTACTACGATGACATGGATGGTGATGGCGTAATATGCATGGCCATCGACATTCTACCAACAGAATTTGCAAAAGAGGTAAAATGGAATATAGTTTTACTACTTGTAGTACAGATTCCTACATTTAAAAACTTAGTACTGATTTTGGAGTTCTTGTGTCATGGATAAGGCATCCCAGCATTTCGGAGATATTCTTTCAGGATTCGTCGGTAGTTTGGCGTCGGTGACTGAACTTGCAGATCTACCAGAACATCTAAAGAGGGCTTGCATAAGCTATAAAGGAGAGTTGACATCTTTGTATGAGTATATTCCACGTATGAGGAAGTCAAATGCAGAGTATGTTCTCAGCTGCTTCGTCCTTTATTTCATATAAATTATCTGAAAATGATTATGCCTCTTCTCTAAACCAATGTTTTTATCTTTGCCCACGTAAAACTGCAGAGAGGTGCCACAAGAAAATATGGCGAACGGGGTTTTCCTCCAATCAAAGAGAACATACAACATAGTTGTGGATTTGGATGAAGTTTAAGGTCAGTGAGATTTGAAAACAAGAGTAAAACAATAATTAGAGATGCATGATTTTATATACTAAAAAGGTGGAAAACGTAAAAAGGAGAGACAACGCTATCCCAACAAATTCAATCTCTTTCGGTCTAGTGAGATAACTTATTTTAAGACCAATGTATAGTACAAGAAAAAGTAAATAAGTATAACCCTATTTTGTAGCATGACTTAAGACCAAGCTTATTTTGACAAACTTAAGTGGAATGTGTTACAGTTTAGAAGCATAAAGCACCTTCCTTTTATTTTAGTTTATGCTACTACAGTAATTTGACTCAATTGATTAACAAATCTCATCTATAAATGGTCCTCACCTCTCAATCACTTTTCTTCACACTACCACCAAGCCAAAAGTCTCGTCTTACACACTCAATACTAAAAAAAATGAAAAATAAGCTCTCACATCTCTTCAAGAGTTAAAAACAAAAATGGACAAGACAAACGTTAGCGCAAAAGCTGGTTCGGTAGTATGGTTGCGCCCAGTTCTGGTGGTTCTGCTCATATCCTTAGAGATGCTTTCGAAGCCAACTCTAAGGCTTATTTTGACACTCTCCATGCCAAGGAGAAGGCAAATAAGTGAAAGCAAAAGTGTTCTTGTACTACTTAATTAAAAAGCATAAACATTTGTTTGTTTATGCTCCTTCCTACGTACTAAATAAATGAGATTTGAATCCTTTTCTCTAAATTAATGAGATTATTCTCTCTTTTATGATTAATGTTCTGTCTTTGTTTGCTTCTTTTACGCTCTCATCAGTACATGCGTTGAGTGTACTTGAACTTAAGTATCCCTCTTTCTATTAAGCAAACCACTAAACCCTCTTTGTTCACTTTCCTAGTAATTTTTTTATTTCATATGAAAATCTATAAGCTTGAAAACTTTTCTAATTCAGCTATAGTTTATACAAGGGACAAATTTTGGTTTAACGCATCCAAACTGAAACAGAAAATAGATTTGAAAAGCGAAATGACTTGATTAATTTTATATACATCATAGCAAATGTAGCTGAAATATTGAAACCAAACTACAAAAAGAAAAGAGAAAGAAGACATTAAAATGATGCTAAAAGGGACAATTAAAGCTAATTCCATCTCTGTTTGCTACTTTTATTTCCCCTTCAAGCTGTCTGGGTGGATTGGTTCAGCTTTCTTTCATGTTTATATAATACACTTAGCATCTCAAACATTAATACTATAATTTTTGCACCGGCAAAAGAACCTTTGTCGTTGTTGTTGCATAAAATGGTTTCAACACTTTGATACTACCAACGAGAGAATCTGCTGCTCCACCTCTTCCCAACTATGAACTCTAGTCACCAAAGGATGCCTATCGACTGACTCCGTCTTAGACCAAGGGTATGAATTTTCATAGTCAAAGAGGAGAACCTTCATTCCGATATTAGCGCATTCCTCCGCATATCTCGGGTTATCGTCAATCAATATCTCTGCTCCAAATGACCTGCAGTACAATTCTTGGATTAGCATTAAAGTGGTGTTTTTTTTTTTTGAGTTTTCGACTAGAATCTTGGGAATGTATCAGATTCATGAGTTGATTTTGCATGCACCTGCAGATTTCAGATTTTGGTCTAGACTCTCCATGAAGAGCAAAATGGTTTCCAAAATGAATCTGTTGAAAGAGTCCTGGGAAATGTATCTCGATCCACTCAAGTGTGTGCTCCTTTATCGCATTCTGCCGGGACCTATCCAATAATATTAAAACCACTCAGATACTGATTTATAGAATTAACTGGTAACTTGAAACGTTCAACAACGAGAAGATCACACCACATTCTACTTACGTCACGACCGACATGTCGCAATAGTTTGATAGCTTGTGAAGAGTCTTATGGGCACCTGGAAGAGGATGGATCCCTTTCTTGAAATATGATGTCTTAAAGAACTCGTGAACACGCAAGTCGGCTGCACAACAAGTAAGATTAAACACAGCACTTTACATCTCAATTTACCCACCAAAATAGCCAACACACAAAAAGTCCTCAGAGCAATTTGTGGACAGTTAATTAATGCATAGTTACAAATAAGCCAAGGCAAATACCTTCGTTGCGAGAGCAGTTCCATATCTGCCAAAAATTAAGACACAAATTTAAGCGAAAATCAGAAACAAGATATCTGTGATGGAAGCCAGAGACGTTAGATTTGTATGGTAAAAGGCAATGCAAAACCATTATTGCAAGAGGAGCTCTTGAGTTTAATATGCTTTGATGATAACCCAAAAACATCAGTGTGGCAGAAAAAATGACGCGGACCTCTACGAAAACATCTTTAACCACTCAAATTACTGGAAGCAATGGGGTTTCAGATTTCTTTCACATGAAAGATAACAAGTGCCAGGCAGGGTAATGTGCTATTTAAGTGAAGCAGAGAACAGTTTTCCTTGTCATAAGTCAATGATAGCAACCAAAAATTGTAAACCTTGTATAAAAACTTAGCCTTAGAGGTTATTCCAATCATTCATCCTAGCATACGAGTTCTCAAAGTAGAAAACAAAACAATCCAGCAGCTAAAAGCAAGAGGGTATGATTTGTTTCAGGTAAGCTCAAGAAGGAGCTATGACTTCGTACCTTGAAGAACTCGTAGACATGATATTCTGAGACTGAATGGTTAGACAAATAGCGGTCCGCAATGAACCTGTTAATGGCCGAGACAAAGTTTCCAAGAACTGCTTACATAAAAAGACAATAAAACGAAGCATAGTTTAAATTAATAACTCAAAGATGATTTCAATACATATAAGAAAGCACAAAAGTATCATGCGTCAGCAGCTACCTAACCAAAATAACTTAGACTCGAGTTGGAAACAGAATCAAAACTATTCAGCACATATCACCTTGAACAGTTCAACATAGTTCCTCTTCAAAACTTAGCAATTCATTTGAATGGTTTTGCAGATTCGAATCAGTAGATATATTTGACTCAAACCAACAATGTGAATCAAGGATATTCCGAATTACATAAGCTCTCCAGAATCTGCTAGACAACATCTAGAACTTTTTGTATACTTCAAGCTTTTCTAGAACCCATTTAACAGTTTAACAAGTCAACACATAAAATTTAAAACAATTTCTCCCAACGAAATTTCAAACCTGTAGACATCACACTAAAAGAACAAGGGGAAACATACCCTCATCTATGTCAACAGCGACAACAATCTTATCATTCCCTTGGAACCTCGTACGCAGACATGCACCCCGGCCATCCGCTAGGTCGGTGGCTCCGCCGCCGCCGAGGCGTTCTTCACTAGGCCCAGATCCCATACCATGGAGAAGCCGCCGATGCTGAGTTAAAGCTCTAGCCTTTTGATCAGCTTTCTTGTGAGAATCAAAACAACTCCTCAAGGTTAATCCATTGGGCTTTGCTCCTCCACCTTTAGCCTTGAACAAACCACAACAAGAGGAGCCACTGTAGTTTTTGGTGTAAATTTGAAAGGGATTGATTCTGTTAACGAAATCAGGACCAAAGCTGTTCCGGACGGATCGAGGAGTGTGAAGCGATCGCACAATTAGAGGATCGGTATAAGAAGACATGAGGGTATGTGAATCGAAGCTTGCGATTCTGTAGAGAATGGCGTTGGACTGCCTCTTTAACATAACGAAACCTTCTCTCACATTTACACCATCCACAAAAATATTCAAAAGAGCAACATCAAACCCTAAAAATCCCCAAAAAAATTGATAAATTTGGAAGCGAGAAAACAAAAATAAAAAATAAATTGAGATTGCAAATCTAAAGAAGAAGAAGAAGAGGCTCCAACGTAATAATCATGCATTGGAGCACTTTGGTCATTGGTGGGGTCTTTGAAACCGAGAAAATAAATAACAAAATCGAGCCTTTGATATTAGAAGAAAAAGGAACTTAATTTACTATAGAATATGATCTCGTCCCCTACGATTACGCCGTGGCCTCTACCAATTGAACGGCGACCATAAAGACACACACACATCTCTTCTTTAAGTCGGTCTCTGAACAAATATGTTTTTTTTTTTAGACTGGTTCAATTTGGTTGATCCGGTTTATTTCAAAATTGACTGACCATACCATATGGTTCACTCGTTGATAATTTACGTTTGGAATCTTTCATCTCGTCATATGTTGTAATCAGGTCTTTTTTGTTTGGGGGAATCCGATTCAAACAAAGAAAAGAAAGGAAAAGAGTAAAAGTTGTATGAGAATCCCTGTCCACGTATCTGCGTCATCTTTTTTATAGATGTGTACCGTACACACGAAACACTGAAATACATGAAGCATCTCAGATTTGAGATGGATCGGCGCAACAAAGTTTTTTATTTTTTTATTTTTATAAAGAACAAAAAGAAATGAGTAGTAGTAGTAGCGAGTCAAATGTCTGAGAGACGAATAAATTCCTTGTTTTCCCTTTTCAGCTTTTTTCTAATTATGTTTTCAATACTTTTGTAATTAAGTTTTTTTTGTTTGTTTGCCACAAATCATAAAAGCGACAGACCAAAAAAAGGAAAGAGAGTGAAGTGTGACTGTGTGAGCAGGTGAGAACCCAACCAAACTCCTCTGTCCATCAATAAAAACCTCAAAGTTGCAACCTTTTTTGTTTTTTTTTTGTCTTCTTCACCGCTCCTTGACCAACAGCCATGCTCTGTATCAAAGCCGAAGCTCTTCATGAAGATCATAGTAATACCATTGCTGCTTCCTCTTCTTCTTCTCCTAGCACCGATCGTAGCTCCGGGAATGCCACTTTTCGTCTTCCTATCAATTGGTTCTCTCTCTCTCTCTCTCTATTCTGAATCTACTTCTTTGTCCTCAATGCTCGCCATTTGTTTGTTTTTTCTGGGGTTGCTGATGCTTTCTGTAACAGGGGAAGCTCGATCCGGAGGTATTTGAAGAAGACTGGTACATTTTCAAGAAGATCTTACTCCTCTGGAGATGGGTCTTTGTATTTTCCTGATCTCGATGTAATGTAGCCTCTTCCTCTCTCTATACACATATCTTTGCTTTTCAGATTTCTTGGTTAATGTATCAATATCTAGTGAATCTAGGGTTTTGAGGGGGTTTAGGGTCACCACAAAGGTTTGAAATTGGATGTTTTTTAAAAAACTTTTTGGCAGCAGGAAAGCAAGATACTTGATCAAAACAGTGGTAGATTTGAAGGAAAGAGCAAACTATGGTACAAATGTGAGCTTGAACAAGATGTAAGTGACTCAGATCCCACACTATCATATTCATTTGCTGTTTTTTTTTTTTTTTTTTTTGTTATTAACCCATCTGAGATGTAAGTTTGAGATTCTAGTGTGTTTCATCCTTAATTCTCTTAATGTGTACTACTGGTAATGGTGCTAGATTGTTGGTAACATTTGTGGATGGTACAGGTTAAGAGACTGCAGCAGCAGTTACAAGAGGAGATCAACTTACGGTTAGCTCTAACAAGTGTTGTTGAGCATTCTAGTTCTCCCTTCATGGATTCCCCTTGCGAACTTCCAGATGAGGTCAATCCTTTCTCCAGCTTAGATTTTCTTCATTGTTTTTCGCTATTGAATGTCTTGTAAAACATTATAGCATTTACAGGCACAAGAGCTTTTGGACAGCTTAGCAGTACTGGAAATCACGGTGTCAAAGCTTGAGCAAGAATCAGTTTCCTTGAGATATCTACTTAGGCAAGAGAAAAACGAGCGGCGTCTCACTGAGATTCTACAAAAGAAGTCTCACTGTTCTGCTCCCTCAAAGTTCACTAATGCTCAAAATTTCCCTAACATGCTGGTATGTCTCTGTACAAAGTTTTGTGAGTTCTTCCATTCTAGTGTTTTAAACAGATTATTCCTTATGACCTGACAGGTGACAAGGAAAAGAGAGAGTAAACAAGTGGTTTCTGTGGATAGTGAAGCTTTACAAGTAGAGTGAAGTAGCAAATAGTGATTATGTGATCTTAGGCACCGCCATACAATCTGAAGACATATGGCAAGTCCATGAGCAAAATCATTCTCCACTGAGTGAAAGAGTTTTGTAAGTTTCTTCGTCCCTCTGGTGCTAGAATAGCCTTTAGACTCACCAGGCTGGTCCCTGAGCATCTCTTCATCAAGAACTCTGAAAACCTTAGAAGAGAATGCCTTTACTCAGCTCTATTCTATTATTGCTAAACAAATCTGGCGTTATTCGATAAGCTAACGTGGGGTAAGGCTGATACCTGATAGGATGGTTGATGCCCTGGCCTACAGTAGTAGCAATGAAGAGGCTTGTATTAAGTAGAATGGATTGTGGTAGCCTTATTATAATCACTAACGGGGATTGTTGGTTGTATAATTTTGAGTCGGTGTCTCCCTTGGATTTAAAGTAAAGTAAGTAAGATTTCTTCGTTCCTCCTCTATAGCAGTATTCATTTTTGTTAATCGAAACCTTTAAAAGTTGTAACAACCATATTTATTATACATATAACAATTTTGTGTTTTCATGAATAAGCAACTTGTTATACATTATGTAACATAGAGAAAAGTTATCATTTTCATCATAATTTGTTACTGAATCCACTCTGTCTTAGAAAAATCCTCAGAAACAATTACAAAACAACTACTGAGGTTATAAAATAAAATAAAAAAGGCCCCAAAAACAAAACAAACAAAATCATTGAAGGCCCATAACTCTAATTTTGTAGGCTTTAGAAAATTGGTGGTGAAATCCAGATTTTGAGCACGGACTGCTACAGAAAGATAAGATAAGATAAGGTTTTTGTTTGAAGTTTTGTTGTAAAAAAATATATATATAAAAAAAAAAAAAATATATATATATATATAGATGAAATATGTTTTTGGAAAATCACAAAAAGTTAGGTCCGTCACTAACAAACAATGATTAAATGATTAAATAAATAAAACGGCCGTGTGATGACAAAAAAAATAAAAATAAAACGGCCGTCTCTACTTATATATGGTTTTAAGGGTTTTACACTTGTTATTAGGTAGAAGAAAACTCAACATACATTTATAAAAAAAAAAAAAAAAAAAGAAAAAAAGGAGGCGATGGAGAAGATTATTGAGGTAGCTTATGGCGCATCAGTGAAGGCGGCTTTGACCTTGTTGGAGAACAATCTCTTGCCGGATCTTGTCATTAGGCGGCTTACACGACTCCTTCTTGCCGGTCGGCTCCGTTCCGGTTACAAACCCACGGCAGAGATGCAACTCTCCGATCTCCTCTGTTTCGTTGACTGTAAGTGATACATTATATGTCATTTGCTCACATTTATTCTTCTTCTTTTTTGTATTCATTAACATTTAGATTTTATTTATTATTTTCGATTTAGAGTTTACAAAGCTGTTCCGCATTGTGTGTTATTGAGTGATTCCGACGATGAGAACACATTTCATTTTGTTTTCATAGTATAGCTTTGCAAATTCTGAACTTCAAAGAAATGTTTAAATATCTGTTGTGAATTATGTATGTACCTCAGCTATAAAGAAGATGCCTATAGCGATCAATACCGAGAAGCCTAAGACTCAACACTATGAATTACCAACTGCTTTCTTCGAGCTTGTTCTTGGAAGAAACATGAAGTACAGCTCTTGTTTCTTCCCTAACGATGCAAGTAGCTTGGAAGATGCAGAGGAAGCTATTTTGGCTCTTTACTGTGAAAGAGCTAAAGTGGAAGATGGACAAAGTGTTCTTGATGTCGGATGTGGCTGGGGATCTCTGTCTTTGTACATTGCCCGCAAGTATAGCAACTGCAAGTTAACTGGTATCTGCAACTCTAAAACACAGAAAGCATTTATCGATGAGAAATGCGGGTAATTAAGTTTCTCATTAGCACATCTTATGCTTCAAGTTCTAGCTACTATAAGGGAATTTAGTTTAACCTTTAGCTAAAATGGTTTCTTTTACATGTCATGTTTTGAAGGAAACTCGGGCTTCAGAATGTCGAAATAATTGTTGCGGATATCAGCACTTTTGAGCATGAAGGGACATATGATCGAGTGTTCTCCATCGAAATGTTTGAGGTTTGGATTGTTCGCTAAAGTGTTTCATTATATGTTTGATTTTCAAAGATCAGAGGTTTTTCTATTTGGGATTGTGATCAGCATATGAAAAACTATGGAGAGCTTCTGAAGAAGATAGGAAACTGGATGAAGGAAGATAGTCTTCTGTTTGTTCACTATTTCTGCCATAAGACCTTTGCTTACCACTTTGAGGTATAGATCAATATCTAACTTGATAGCTTCTTGTTTAATAGTCACTTCAACATATTTTCATGGCAATAACGCAATCTTGATATTGTGCTGATTCGCTATAGGATGTGAATGACGATGACTGGATCACAAGACACTTCTTCAGCGGAGGAACAATGCCATCCGCAGATCTTCTACTCTATTTCCAAGTAAGATACATTATAACTTGGCATGTATGTTTCAATAGAAAATCACCAACTGTAACATATCAATTGATATGTTGTTGTGATCAGGAAAATGTTTCGATTGTGGATCATTGGCTCGTGAACGGGAAGCATTATGCAAAAACAAGGTAAAACTCCAAAAGTTGTTTATCCAGAAAGAAGAAGATAATAATTAGCTTCTGATGTTTAATTCTTTTGATAATACAACTTCTTGCAGTGAAGAGTGGCTCAAAAGAATGGATAAAGAGATTGTTGCGATCAAAAAGATAATGGAAATGACTTACGGGAAAGAAAACGCAGTCAAGTGGATGGTTTATTGGAGAACCTTCTTCATCGCGGTTGCTGAGCTTTTCGGATACAACAATGGGGAAGAGTGGATGGTTGCACACTTCCTCTTTAAGAAGAAATGATGATTTCTTTATTTTCTTCCATTTTGAATAAAGAATACAACAATCTCATTCTACCCTACTTAAGAATTTGAGTTGTTCAATCTGTTATTGAAAACTACTATATGGGGATCAAGTATCATCAACCGGATTTATTTGAATCAGCTTGCTTTGTTGGATTCAGCTCACCATCTACCTCCAAAACGCGAGTGAGAAGCTTACCATCCAAATTCTCCTGTTTGAATACATAAAAAACCGAAAACAAAACTAAGAAAGAGAAGCTTATTATTTGCTAAAGATCATAAGAAGCATGAACAGAAAGCTGAAGAAGAGACACATAGTGACTTACCGAGAGACAGTCTCTGTACTTCTTCCACTCGGCAACACACTCTTCTTTATCCCATTGCCCTTTAACAAACTTCTCCGAGTACCATCTGCAGAAATCAAATCAGAAAAAAAAAAGAGATACAACAACAATACCATCAAATTATGAGTCAATACCGAAGGATCCAAACCTTAAAGGATGAAAAGACCAGAAATCCCTGAAACCCCCATTTCGCTTACCAAAGCTTAACCCATAAACCCAACAAGTGAAGAAACACTCGCTAAATCCCTCAAAGGAGAATCGAAACTCACTTGTTGAAGCAATTGTGGTAAGCGTTTCGCAAATCGGCGCAGGGGGAAGTAGAAGAGCGAGCTGAAGTTGAATCCTTTTTCTTCAATAAACCCATCTTTGCAATCACTAATAGTCTGTCAGCTTAGCAACTCTGAAAATCCATCTATATAATTCAGAACAAAAAACAGTATATCACTCTTAAGAAAAGGATAAAATTGCAAACAATGACCCAATAAGAATCTAACACAAGCTTTACAACTCATCATCACAAACAGAGATATATAATCGAACATAGCCAAAAAAAAAAAAAGACAACTAAAACAACCAAACAGAGAAAGATCTCAAAGTAGTTGACCACAAAAAGCATGCTCCTTTCACATCGACTCAAGTGTCTTTGTCAAAAATCTATACAGATACCTTGTGAAGTGCATCATGTAAGATAATGAACCATAATATGTTGTTGTCTCTCTACAAAGATCAAACATGTGTTTATTTAAAAACAAAAATCAAACATGAAACAGAGGATAAATACCAAAAATAGAAGAACACCTCTATCTAATGAATGGGTGGAGGGACATATTTAAGAACTGCATAAAGAGAAACATGGATCAACACGAATCAAGAAAGAGGGATAGAAATCCTAAAACGCAGAAAGGATCAAATAGAGAGATAGATAAAATCACAAAACTGAAACTCAAACAATACAAAAGATTCAAAGTATGAAGCTTGAAGGATAAAAGAAGTTCAATACCAAAAAAAAAAAAAAAAAAAAGATCTTCGAGTTATATATGACCTTGATTTGATCGGAACGGGTAGTCCAAATTTGAATAGACCGGCAAAAAGAAAGAAAAGAAGATCTTCGAGTTATATATGACCTTTGGCTAAACACGTAACACCTCAGATTCCCAGAGATTGTGAGCACTCGTTCTCTCCTTTAACTCTTCTTAGTCTCTTAGACTCAGAAACCGTAAATTTTACGCACCCAACCTCGACGACGACGACCGAGCTTCGGAAGAACTCGATTTAACCAAACCAAACAGAGAGAGTGGGAAAACAACAAACGACGCCGTCTCAATAGACAAAAGCCCTAGGCAAATTTAAACATCGCACAAGAACGTAAAATTAACAAAATTAACCAAAATTAATTAGGTTTACTGTAATCAATCTCACATAATTTGATAGTCAATGATATTATTTTATTTATATAAACGTTGTTGTGTCACTCACTCGCGTGCCGTAACATAAAACACTTGCTTGCAAATTTTATCTATTTCAGTATTTAGTATAAAGGATCCAAGAGAACGAGAAAAAAAAAAAACAGAAAAAAACATCAGACGAAGTTTTTAGAAGATGGATCAGTTCAAAGGTCAGCCTCGTCTACCCAAGTTCGCCGTCCCCAAGCGCTACGATCTCCGCCTCACTCCCGATCTCAACGCCTGCACCTTCGCCGGTACTGTAGCCATCGACCTCGACATAGTCGCCGATACTCGTTTCATCGTTCTCAACGCTGCTGATCTCTCCGTCAACGATGCCTCCGTTTCCTTCACTCCTCGTTCCTCCTCTAAGGTCCCCCGATCCTTTCTCTCTATTGTGATGATCAATAATGTGATTAATACGAGTTTTTGTTTTGATGCTATAGTCGTTGAGCAATTAGCGTTATTAGCTGCTTGATTTGAAGATTTGGATATGATAAATGATTTTGACTCCATTGGTTGGATTGAATGGTATCTTCAGAAATAGTAGATTTCTGCATAATGGTTTCTCATGGCACTTGACCATTCAAACAGATTATCTTGTTGCTTCTTCTGTTTCATCTATTAGAGTAGAGAGACTTGAGCTGACAAACTCAGTACTTTTTGTTATGCAGGCGCTTGCAGCTCCAAAAGTTTTCCTGTTTGAGGCAGATGAGATTATGGTGCTCGAGTTTAGTGAGATTGTTCCCCATGGAGTGGGGGTTCTGGAGCTGGGGTTCAGTGGACTACTTAATGACAAAATGAAGGGATTTTACAGAAGGTAAAGTATAGCGTTTTCTTACTTTTTTACAAGTAAAAATTTGCATAGCTTGAGATTAGTTCTAGACCAGTCTTGTACTTTCTTGGTGGCAGTACCTATGAACATAACGGTGAGAAGAAGAATATGGCAGTTACCCAGTTTGAACCAGCTGATGCTAGGAGATGCTTTCCATGCTGGGATGAACCTGCTTGCAAGGTTTCCACTTGTTCTTTCTCTTTGCCTCCTCCTTTTAACTGGCATAACTTTGTAAAAGATGTTTTTTTGTTTTTTTTCGTCTATATCTAATCCATATTGACACATTCTGAAACAGGCTACCTTCAAGATTACATTAGAGGTCCCAGCTGATTTGGTGGCTCTCTCCAATATGCCCGTCGTGGAGGAGAAAGTTAATGGGAATGTAAAGATTGTCTCCTACCAAGAGTCACCTATTATGTCTACATATTTGGTAGCAATTGTTGTTGGTTTGTTTGACTACGTGGAAGATCATACATCCGATGGTAAATTAATTTTATCCATCATTTATCTTTTGTCTAGTCATTTCTTGAAGCTCTAAATCAAGTGTCTTCTTTTTCCTCAGGTGTTAAAGTCAGAGTATATGGTCAAGTTGGCAAAGCTGACCAAGGCAGATTTGCATTGCATGTTGGTGCCAAGACATTGGATCTGTTCAAAGAGTAGGTCCCTCGTCGACATTTTAAACATTACGTGCATGCATAATTCTGACTTCTCTTACTGGTTGTAACATAGATTGTATTATACTCGTTGCATAACTTCAATGATTCATGTAGGTACTTTGCTGTGCCATATCCCCTTCCCAAAATAGATATGATTGCAATACCAGATTTTGCTGCTGGAGCTATGGAGAATTATGGTTTAGTTACATACCGTGAAACAGCTCTTCTCTATGATGAGCAGCATTCAGCAGCTTCTAACAAACAGAGGGTACTGCAAACTTGTCCTTTTATTTTTTAGAGGAAATTGTCTTGTGCGTTTTCTTGCAATTATCTAAAGCTGTTAATTTTCTGCTGCTAGGTTGCCACAGTAGTTGCTCATGAACTGGCTCACCAGTGGTTTGGCAATCTTGTCACTATGGAGTGGTGGACACATCTATGGCTGAATGAGGGTTTTGCCACTTGGGTAAATTGCAAACTTAGGTCTTTGTATTAACAGTAATTTTGAGTTTTGTTTTAAATGTACTGTTCCTTGTTATCTTTTTCAGGTCAGCTACTTGGCTACTGATAGTATGTTCCCTGAATGGAAAATCTGGACCCAGTTTCTAGATGAATCTACTGAGGGTCTAAGGCTAGATGGACTTGAGGAGTCTCACCCGATAGAGGTAACCAAAATAAGTATCTATGTTATTAAGTGGGGCACAACTCTGAAAAATGCTTTCAGTATATTTTTCATGAAAGCTTAGTGTCTTCTTTCCTTATATTCATTGTCAATCCCAGAGATACCCTATTACCTATTTATCATAAGTCCAAAAATTTCTCAGGTGGAAGTTAATCATGCTGCTGAAATTGACGAAATATTTGATGCCATAAGTTACCGAAAGGGTGCATCTGTCATCCGCATGCTACAAAGCTATCTTGGTGCTGATATTTTTCAGGTACTGCTCATGCCCATTTCCTTCTGTGACAAGAACTGCAGCTTGTATCTTCTCATCTGGCTTCTATTTTTAATTTTCCAAATGTCTCCAAAACTTCTTACCTCTACTTGTATGGCTTTGTTGAGCAGAAGTCGCTTGCAGCATACATTAAACATCATGCTTACTCAAACGCGAAGACAGAAGACTTATGGTCCGCTTTGGAAGAGGGATCAGGAGAACCTGTGAACAAGCTTATGCATTCTTGGACAAAGCAACAAGGATATCCTGTTGTCTCTGCCAAAATTAAGGATGGAAAATTGGAACTGGAGCAGGTTGTTAGACTTATTTCCCTTGCCGGGTGTCTTACTTATATCCCCCTTTTAGATGCCTCGAAGTTGAAGGTCCATTATTATGTCTTATGCATGATGGACTAACTTAGTTCAATTTTAACATTACAGTCCCGTTTCTTGTCAAGCGGTTCTCCTGGGGAAGGACAATGGATTGTGCCAGTAACCTTATGCTGTGGTTCATATGACGTGCGCAAAAATTTCTTGTTAGAATCCAAATCTGCAGCATATGATCTAAAGGAATTATTGGGCTGTTCCATTGCCGATGGTAGCGGCAAAAACGATGCGGCATGTTCTTGGATAAAAATCAACGTTGATCAGGCTGGATTCTATAGGGTGAAATATGATGACAGCCTTGCGGCTGGACTCAGAAATGCAACAGAGAGCAAAAGCTTGACTTCTATCGATAGATATGGTAATTTAACCTTACAGAATTTTGTTTTCCTGGTTGACATAATGAAATTTCTTTGATGATAAATATCCTACTCTCTCTTTTACAGGTATTTTGGATGATTCATTTGCACTTTCAATGGCTCGTCAGCAATCTCTAGCCTCTTTACTTACTTTGATTAGTGCTTACAAGGAGGAACTTGAATATACTGTGCTTTCAAATCTAATTGCTGTAAGGATCTGCATTTTTCTTCTTCAATTTTCCTGTCCATAATTATGTTTTCGCTTCTGGCTCTTACTCTTCATCCGTATAGATAAGCTACAAAGTTGTGAAGATTGGAGCAGATGCAAATCAAGAACTGATGTCTGGGATCAAACATTTCTTCATCAGCGTTTTCCAATTTGCTGCTGGGTAACCTGTTTTACACTTTTACCCATCTACAGAAATTAGACTTATCGTTATGTTCTTTTTAACAAGCAGTAAAAGTGAATCAATGTCGTTACAATATTCATTGTTGTTATAGGAAACTTGGTTGGGACCCTAAACAAGGCGAGAGTCATCTAGATGCTATGCTGAGAGGGGAAGTCTTAACTGCACTTGCTGTGTTTGGGCATGATGAGACACTAAAGGAAGCAGTTCGGAGATTTGATACTTTCTTGGCTGATAGGAACACTTCGCTTCTGCCTCCTGACATTAGAAGGGTTTGTTTCGTATTATAGGAACAAATGACGGTTTGAATTCAGAACCTTTTAATTGAAATTCTGTATGGGTTTTGTGTTTGCAGGCTGCTTATGTTGCTGTAATGCAGAGAGCCAATAAGTCAGACAAATCTGGTTATGAGTCTCTTCTGAGAGTTTATAGGGAAACAGACCTCAGCCAAGAGAAAACACGGATCTTAGGTAACTTGCTGTAAACTTTTATCTGATACGTGAGATTCAATTAATAGAAATTTGATGTTCAACTACTGATATTTCCTTGGTGATTTTGCAGGTGCTTTAGCATCTTGTCCAGACCCCATCATAGTTCAAGATGTTCTTAACTTCGTATTGTCTGATGAGGTATATATAGATTTCTTTCAACTTTTTATAAAGTAGTGAATAATCATATCATTAGGCTTGAAATAGTTGATGTGATACATTGGGGTTCTTATTCATCCAGGTCCGTAATCAAGATGCAGTTTATGGACTTTCCGGTGTAAGTTGGGAAGGACGTGAAGTAGCTTGGTCATGGCTACAGGAGAAGTGGGAGTATATAGAAAAGACATGGGGCTCCGGATTTCTCCTAACACGTTTCGTAAGTGCAGTTGTATCACCGGTTAGTTCCTCCTCCCACCTTTATGCATATCCATTAAAAAAAGCTCTTGCTAGCCTTCATTGATTTCTCTTTATGTTGATTGTCCCAGTTTGCGTCGTTTGAGAAAGCCAAAGAAGTGGAGGAGTTCTTTGCGACAAGAACAAAGCCTTCGATGGCAAGAACCTTGAAGCAGAGTATTGAAAGGGTACATATCAACGCCAACTGGGTGGAGAGTATCAAGAAGGAAGATAATCTCTCACAGCTCGTTGCTCAGCTCTCTTCACACTGAAAGTTATAACTCAGGGTATCTACTCGAGAATTAACTAAAATCATCTGTGACCTGTGATGCGAACCTTTGTTGTTTCTTCTTATCAACACCGAATCAGAAATTTACTTTTTAAAACTTTGGATTTGCCAACAATAAAGTTAGCCTTTCAAGGTCCGTTCCGACACAACTTGATTATATT